TAGCTCGGATGTAACACACGATTTCATTGGCTAAAAAGCGGGSCATACTTTCCCGTACGGACCAGATGAAACGAGAAAAACGTTTTTTATCTTAAAAAGGCTCACTTTCTCTCTTTTTGTTGTTGTACTGTATAAAAAAGAGTCAAAAATGAATCCAAATTTTGCCATCAAGGTTTCTCAGTCTTTTCTTTTTTCCTTCTATTTTGAATGACGAGAAAAGTACGAACAAAAACGTATTTTTATGTCCGATTTTCTATTAGTTTTACTATTTTTCCCTTAAAATGCTATATAATCAATATCTTACTAACCTCGCTTGCTCGAGCCGTATGGGAAGTTATGGAACCTCGGTTTTTCCACTTTTTATGGCCCTCGGGCTACGCTATAAGTCAACTTCCCGTACGGCCCGCGCGCTCGGTTAATAAGATAGTAATATCTTGTCCATCTTACCAATGAACTGCTTTGAGTTCAATTTCACCTTGTAGTGCTAAATTCTATCAAATTTATAGAGCTGTATTCATAATATTTTGATTAAAATGATTCGTCCTATAGGCGCGCACTGATTGGTCCAATAATGTGCTTTATTTCATATACCAGCATGAATGCACGTTTAATAGGCCATTTGCATTATGGCGTAACTCTACTAGAACTACCAGAATCTACCAGAATGCGCATTTTCATTATTATTCAGATTTTTAATCCCCTTGGATGATTTTTTAAACAATTGGCACTAATTGCATTACAAAAGAAAGTTGGCAAAGCATTCTGGTAGTTGTAGCAAATGACTGCATACTGCTGCAAATCGGCTATTCTCTCGAGGATATCTTTCAATACCGTAAAAGCAATCAAGGATGGACTGCCTGTTGTCTAGCGTTGGAATGCAGATGTTGGAAAACGCTCAGATTTTTTGCGTCTGTTCACGTTCAGTTATTACAATTCTTTGATGGATCTTCGAGAATATAAGGCCAACGCAGACCATCCTTCATAGCTTACCGTATACATCTAATTAGCAAAGTATTCTTGCAAGTTGCAAAGCTAGTGTGGATGTAAGGTCTATATGTGTACCATTTTATGCGTAATTCAATTTGTTGCTGTTGAAGTTTAGCAGCGTTTCTCATTTTTCATGTTATGTTTTTA